CACCCCGACAGAGAACGGTGTACGGTATGTCATGTTGTGTGTGCCTGGGGTCCGTACGGTACGCACCTCTTCCCTTCGTTCATCGATGAGCCTCTCGATGTCCCTCTGGAGCATCTCTTGCTCTTCCTTCAACACATCACACCAATACTGAATGAACAACACACACACACGCGCCTTCGCTAACGCGTCAACACAGGACAGCACAGGACAGCACAGCACAGCACAGCCAGCCTCTCTGTGAGTCGCTGGCTCAGTCACTCACTGACCGGCTGCAGTCGTCTTGGTGTGGCGGTTAGGATGCGTCGTCTGAGGTCCCGCGTGGCCTCCTGCATTCTCTTGCGAGCCTCGCCCTCGAACTCGGGTGACGCGCCCAACACGACGGCAAAGGCCTCTTGGAACTCGTCGCTGCTCCGCTCGCGCAACGCCTCAGCATACAGCCGGAAGTAGTGCTCGAGCTCCGACGACAGCCGCGCCAAAATGGCATCCTCATCCAGCCGCATGTGGTGCCTCTGTCTGCCTCTTTGGCTGTGACGCAGCTGCGATTGCGATGACAGTAGTGCGGCTGCTCGCGAGCGGACTTTGTCGATGAGGTCTTGGAGCGTCGAGCACAGCTGCACTGCCAGCTGCTCGGGCGTGACGGCCTGGGCGAACTCCACTATTGCCCGCCGGGTGTCGTCCATGGCCTCGATGATATCCCTGTCGTCAAATACCCCACCAAGGACCGCCGTGTGGTCTGATTCAGCAGGAGGCGAATGCAGATCCGCACATAGTAATGCAGGTGAAGCAGAGGGTGGGAGATGACGTAAGCCGACACTGCAAGCGGGGCTGTTGATGGGTGCTCGTGGCCGCGCCAGGGAACAATGCAGGCCGGGGAGCTTCGCAGCTTCAGCGAGTGTGTCCATCCGAAGGGTCAACACGACGAATGAGACCTGCAGCAGTCTCGGTCCCAGATCAAGGCAAGAGCGGTTCACAAGCCTCATAGCTTGTGGAAAGGGCGTTTTTCCCCACGACGGTTCACAAGCCTCATAGCTTGTGGAAAGGGCGTTTTTCCCCACGAGCGTGACGATCGGCTGAAACGCGAGCTCGCAACCACACACCCCTGAAACCGCTCTGCGAATCCGAAGATCTTTGCCACAAGAAAAGCGGCATCTAAACAGCTGGAACACGAAACAGTAGGAAGCTGTACGTCTTCGTTGGACACATGATGCTCATCGTGATTCAGCTTGCCGTGGTCAGCCTGGGCCTCGTTGTCTGTGCAGCAGCCTTCCACCCAGTCACCCGGTCATCTGCCCTCAGCTTTCCACGCGCAGCCTTCTCTCACAGACAGCCTTATGTTTCATCAACGGCATCACCACTACCACCACTGCCGGGCGAGACCGTGCTGCTGAGCACCGTGGCTGAGGCGCCAGCACCGGCACCGCCAGCAGCAGAGGCAGAGGAGGCCGATGCTGCATTGGCTGCCGGTGTGGCTCGCGAGGAGGATGTGTCTCGTGACGGCGGCGTCGTGAAGCGAGTGGTTCGTGAGGGCTACGGGAAGCTGGCGCAGGGCGGGGGCTTCGTCAAGCTGCGCTACACGGGGAAGCTGGCGGAGACCGGTCGGGTGTTTGCCAGAGGGGATGACTTTCGGTGCATGGTGGCTGACGGCTCGATGATCAAGGGTTGGGATCTGGCTCTGCGGACGATGAAGGAGGGCGAGGTGGCCGAGGTGGTGATAGCGCCCAAGTATGCCTACGGGGTCAAGGGGGTGCCGCCGGTCATCCCGCCCAACGCGCCGCTGCTGTTCGAGATCGAGCTGACCGAGTACGAGGGGACGCCTTATGACCTCAAGTTGGGGCTCAACATCGACAAGATCGAGACCGACACAGAGAAAAAGAGGAAGGACAAGGAGAAGGCAGAGGCTGCACTCACCGATATGGAAAAGTTCAAAAACTGGCTCAACAGCCTGCAGTTCTTCGGGTCAGTCAGTGCGGGACAGAGGGAGTCAGGCGGCCGCACACCACTCTGTATATCCGTTGATTTGCTGATTGCATTGGTTGGTTGGCTGCATGTGTGTGTCCACCAGAGTCGTGACGGCGGGGTACCGTCGTGGCGTTCCCTGGTACGTGAACCCTTTGGTCCTGTACCCCACGTGGTTCTTCATTGTGGGAGTGCTCTTCTACGTCACATTCAGCCTGGGGGGCCTCAACATCGGCGGGCCGCAGCAGGAGCAGTCCCCCGACAGCTTCAGCATCATCAAGACCATCATCGACGGATTCAAAGGAGGACCCCAACCTGACACATGACACACACACACACACACAGTGCAGTGGGGGCGGGGTGGGGTGACAGTGGCAGCGCTCGATGTTTGTTCGCTGGCTTGGAGCTGGTGTGTGCGCGGGAGCGCACTGGTTTTTGTGTGTTTCGCTCGTGTGGTGTGTGAATGAGGGCCGTGCGTGTGTGCAGAGATCTTTGACAACCAGACGAGAGAGAGGCATGAGTTTTTGTCCAGGGGGCAGTCAGAGAGGGTGTTGGTGTCGTGACTATCGTGACTGACATCGCAAATACAACTGTCACGCTAAGCTAATGCATCCGTATGTCCGTTCATTGAGGCATTCCCTGCACTGAGGGGCCTGCACCGCACCTGACCTGCACCGTTCCCATTTCATCCACCATGGACCCTATCCTATAGCTCATAATACAGCAGAAGATATGCACATCAGGCAAGTCAGGGCGGCAGAGCAGAACAAACATGCCGGCAATCTCTTGCATGCATCAGTCGGTCATTCCCTTTGATCAAACGCCGCAGCGAGCCTTGCCCCGCTCCCCGACTGCAGCCGATATCCATTCAGCCGAAGAAGAGCCGCCAGTGCGTCTTGCCTCGATGAGAACCACACCCGCACAAACGCCTCGCGACTCCCAGTTCTGAAAGGCTGCACTAGCGTCGCTCTCAGCCCGTCAGCCAGCCGCTGAAACTCTGGATCTGTCCCAAACGCATTATCCGACTCGGCTGCACTGGTTGGCTGCTCGATCTGGACTCTGAGCGTGTGTGTGGTGGGCTCTTGTGCTGGTGCGGGTGCCGACGTGCTGCTGCTGCTGCTAGGATGGGTGGGCTGTCTGCTGTCGTCTTGTTGCAGTGAATCCAGCAAGGCCTGGAGAACTCGGCTTTTGGCCAGCCAGTGGGGAACGAGGGCCTCCACCTCCTCCATTGACGCCTCGGCGCGACAGATGGCGCATCGAAATGCCTTCCTCTCGAGCTGTGAAGGATCGAGCAGGCCGGCCTCCACGGCAGCCAGATGCTCGAGATACTCTGAGGTCTCCTTCTCCCACGCACGCCTGCCGGCCTCAGTGCCAAACCACCAGGACACAAGGCACTCTCTGTGGTGGAGGTGCAGACAGGAGCCGATGCGGACAATCGCTGAAAGGAGGTCCTCCTCCTGGGCGTCGTCTTGGTGCTGTTGTTGTTGGTCGTCGTCACGCAGGGGCGTCATGCAGATCGGACAGTCGCCTTTAAGCGCAGTGGCCTGCATTGCAGTCACCCTCTCGTTGAGAGCTGCCACCAGGCCGAACAAAGAGGCGTCATCGTCGCCTGAGAGGAAGGCCTCACAGATCCCCATCAACTCGTCCTCCTGGACCTCGTCAATGCCGCGTGAGTTGATTAGCTTGACGGACAGTACGTGGCTGGACGGGCTCCACCGGCACTCAAGCACCACTCGAACCAGTTGCTATGACAAGCAAACGAGGAGAGAGAAGCCATGGATCGATCAGCAAGCCAGTGTGTGTCCGCCATAATTCCTGAGGGTGCAGCAGGCAGCTGCATATGTGCGTGCGTACCTTCTTGTGATCCCCGGCCGTGTAGGGGTAGACGTCCACTTTGAAGTGCCGCACGGGCGGCCCGTCGACAGCCGCGTAGACGTCTTCGTAAGTGCTCTCAATGAACTCTCGCTGCGTGTCATACACGTCCTGCTCCACCACTATCGACACCTCCTTCATTTCACACCGAACGGTGGGGCGTGTCGGAGAGCCACGCAATGACTCGTCGAGGATTTTTGAGCGATGAGTCTTCTTGGCAGATCTGTGCCCAGCAATGACCTTCCAGAACAAAGGAAAAGGGAGGCCAAACGCTGCGGTTTGTTCTGCGCGCTTAGCTCGCAGAGAGAGCGGTTTCACGGAATGTTGAGGGGTGCTTCAATCGTGTGTTCTTTCCTTGCGCCGTTCAGCTCGTCTCTGCGAGGCTGGTTGGGCATCATGCTTGTGTTCATTGATGAGTCATAAAGATGGTGCGTCAAGGAGCACGTGCTGTGCTGCTGGTGGGTTGTGTGGCGCTGCTCCTGTCCTGCGCAGGGACCAAGAGACCGGCCAAGCTCCGCCACAACTCGGGACGAGGTGCGCACACTCAGATCTGTCAATGGATGTATCACACAAACTCTGCGGATGGATGGATGTGACTCTCTCTCTCTGTTTGCTTGCGTTGATTGATTGACTGGCTGCACTAACTGCAGGGGCCGTCTCGTCCACTCACGGCCGGTCGCTGCAGGAGGAACAAGCGCATGATGCACCCGGTAAGTCTGTCATTCATGACAGACAGAGACTCATACACACACTTCCCTCGCTGTTTCTGTCGACGTGCGTGTGTGGTGTGGTGCAGACCCCGTTTCTCCCTCGCTGTCGTCCCTCTCCCTCCCCCCATCCCCCGCCAACACGTCGACGCTCGCATTTCTCCTCAACTTCACCCAGCCCGTCGCTATCACGGCCGACGCTATAATGCTCGACGGCTCCATCTGCCGCCCCGATGCGGTCTGCAGCGTCGACAGTGTCAGGCCGACAGAGGGCAGCGATGTGGGGGACTTCGCGACGGTGTGGGAGGTGGAGGTCAGTGTGGGGGATGGAGAGGGGGTTTTGGAGGTTGACTTGGGGGCTGACATGGTGCTCGGCGAGGGAGGCAATGCGCTCAACAAGACAGCGTCGGAGCAGACGCTGCCAGTGGAGATTGAGATAGGTAAACAAACGTATTGGGTGACCACAATGTGTGTGTGTGTGTGTGTGTGTGTGAATTTTTGGTGTGTGACCTTTGTTTGTCCTATCTGGATGCAGACACCGTCGCTCCATCATTGGTGTCGATGAGCAGCCCTCCCGGCCCCATCCCGTCTGCCACCTTCCCCATCACCCTGCACTTCAGCGAGCCCGTGGCCCTCAACGCCTCTGCATTCATCACGCTCACCGGCCCCTTGTGCGACACACGGTGCAGGTATGCGCGCGCCCAGCGTGTAAAGACAGACACGCATCGCATGTGTGTGTCGGTGTGTGTGCACAGTGTGTTGGGTAGCTCTGGTCTGCCTGCGGCTGATGAGGACGACCCCGAGTTTGAGGGATTTGCCCGCGAGTGGGAGGTGACCATCGAGGCCGACGAGGGCGACGGCAACCTGACGGTGGCCGTGGCGGCTGGCGATGCAGCAGTGGTGGATAGGGCGGGCAACGCTATCAGGGATGGACGCATCGACAATGGCACGCTCACTGTCGCCATTGGTGAGTCTGCTCAGCAGGGTAGAAAAAAATCACACAACATGTTGTGTGATGTGTTGTGGTGGTGTGTGCAGACACCGTGGTGCCCACATTGGTGTCTGCGGACGCCCCTCAGGGCCCGCTGAGCACGCCCTCCTTCACCGTCAACTTGACCTTCTCCGAACCGGTGGCCAACATACAGCCAGAGGTGACCACAGACCGACCCACAAACACACGACCAACCAACAGGCGCTCATTCTCCCCTCTCTGTGCTGTGTACCGTCAGCTGACAGGCGACCTCTGCAACGCCACGGCCGGCCTAATGTGCAACATCACCTCCATAGATGCCTTCAGCCCCGACGGCGAGGGCTATGCGTCACGATGGTCATTTGTTGTGTCGACGGCTGGAGGTGAGGGCCGCGTGGTCGTCAGCCTGGTCAGCGACGCTTCCACCGACAGGGCCGGCCTGGCCCCCGCAGACGACGAAGACCCGACTGTCGTCACACGGATAATCGGTCAGTCAGTAAGGGGAGAAGGAAAGGGCAATGGTTGATTGCATTGCACCGACATGCTGCTGCTGATCTGGTCTGGTCTGGTCTGATGTGGTGCGGTGCAGATACGGTGGCTCCCTCTCTGCTAAACATGAGCACTTCTTCCCCTCTGGTCGCATCGACGTCCTTCGACGTGTCGCTGACATTCTCTGAGCCCGTCGCTGTCGACATAGACCGAGTTGTGACACTGCGAGGGCCGCTGTGTGAGGAAACAGAGTGCCGCATTGCCGAGGTCGAGCCGGCCGGCGACGCCGATGACGACGATCTGTCTGACCAGTGGGTTGTGACGGTGGAGGCCGGCGACGAAGACGGCCGCATGGAGGGCTCTGTCGTCATCGATGTCAACGAGAATGCGCTTAGGGACAGGGCTGGCAATGCTCTCAACGCCACTGCTTCGCCCGTCAACACAACAGGCTTCGAGCAATCCATCGGTAGGTACCCTCCCTCCAAACATGCACACACAGACAGAGACACCTTCTGGTGTCTGTCTGCAGATTCGGTGCCCCCCCGGCTGATGGCCCTCCGCGGGCAGCGCGCCAATGCCACCAGCCAGACGATCGCCGTCAACGCGACGTTCTCCGAACCAGTGTCGTTCGACTCCACGCGGATCGAGCTGTCCGGGTCGGCGTGCGACCCCACCAACTGCACCATCGGCGCTGTGCGCCCATTGGAGGCGGAGGGGGAGGAGGCTGAGGGCGATCTGTCGTCCGTGTGGCAGGTGGATATTGTGGCGGGTGAGGAGGAGGGGACGGTCTTCGCCCAGTTCCTGCCGAGCGTGTCGTCGGACGCCGCGGGCAACGAGCTCACCACCGACGGCGAGGAAGCACTGCTCGCCACCTTCTCTGTCGGTAAAAAAGGAAGAAACCACGCGCCTGTGGATGGATGTCCCATTTCCAATTTCCCATTTCCCATTTCTACTCGGTTCTGTCAGATGGCGTCAGGCCGCGGCTGTCCTTCCTGTCATTGCCCTTCCGTGTGCTCAACCTGACCAGCCTCACCGTCACGGCCGTATTCTCTGAACCTGTCGCCCTCAACGCCTCAGGCATACAGCTCTCCGGGTCGGCATGCGCACAAGACAACGACACGTGCCGCGTGGGGCCCGTTCGGCCCGCCGACGACACAATCCAGGCGTTCGCGTCGCGATGGGCGATCGAGGTAGTGGTGGGCGAGACGGAGGGGAGGCTGCGGATCGCCGTGCTGACCAGTGCTGGGGCGGACAACGCCGGGAATGAGCTGGAGGTTCAGACATTTGGCGGCGTGGATGGGGACATTGCCATGGCCATCTCCAGGACCATCGGTGCGTGGTCAATGCAGACAGACAGACAGACAGACAGACAGGTCGATAGGTCGATAGGTCGACGCTTTCTCAGACATTATGTCTGTCTGTCCGTCTGAATATGGCTCGCGCAGACACTCGTCCGCCACGGCTGGTCTCCCTGACGGCGCCCGAAGGCCCGAGCCTGGACTCGGCCACGATGCGCATTATAGTCACCTTCAGCGAGCCAGTATCCCTGCCGCTCGACTACTCTGCCAACGACACTGTGTCGGCAGCACTGCCGCCCCTGGCTGTGGTGGCGAGCGGGAGTGCCTGTGGGGAGGGTGGGGTCGGGTGCTATGTGTCGGCGGTGGATGCGGCGGATGAGGGCGGGGAGCGGCAGGAGTGGCTGCTCAACGTGACGGCCGTCACGGAGGGCAATGTGACGGTGCGGCTGGTGCCGACGCAGATACGCGACAGGGCCGAGAACGGGCTGCGGGTCAACGACACGGAGGGAGGGGGAGACGACATGATGGTCTTCTCCAGACAGATCGGTGAGACTTGATACGAGCGACAGGAGAAAGATTTATCCATCCACCGACCATGGAAATGCTACGCTTCGATTTGATGCAGATCTGACGGGTCCGTCGATCACCCTCAGCAGCACAGTACCGGCCGTCACTTACGCCCCCAACTTCACCGTCACAGCCGAACTCACCGAGCCATGCGACACCCTCACAGCCGACTCCCTCACTCTGAGAAACGCCCGGCTACTCAGCTTCGACGTCGACGAGTCGGGTGTGAGCATTGAGATGCTGGTGGAGCCCATCGCTGGAGGGGCTGTGAGAGTGGGCTTCCCTGCCGGCGCGTGTCAGGACAGTGCCGGAAATGACAACTTCCCGAGCACGGTGGTTTCCACCACATATGGTCGGCGGGTGGGACGTAATGAATGTCATCCGTCATCCGTGCATGCCACTGTCACTGTGTGTGTGCTTCGTTCGGTCCGTGCAGACGATTCGATGCCGCAAGTGGAGGTCGCTCTCGCTATCGACACCGACGCCCTACCCACCGACGCGTCAGATCGGCCGCTGACCCGCAACGCCACTCTCCCACTCAGTCTGACCTTCTCTAGACCGCTCTATGCCACGGAGGCGCCGCTGCTCAACGTCAGCAATGCCAGAGTGGTGGAGGGCTTTGAGTTTGAGGACGGGTCGACCGATGTGGATGGCGTGCTGCAAGCCGACGGCCAGGGGAATGTGAGCATCGGTGTGGCTGCGGGGGTGCTCCAGGACGAGTACGGCCGCCCCAATGACGGGTCCAACACTGTCGTGCTGATCTATGGTATGTATGTCTTAAACACCCTGACTGATGCGCTGATCTGAGTGCCCCCTGTCTGTCTGTGTCCTCCCTCCGTCCCTTGTGTGTGTGCAGACTCTGTCCGTCCGGTGCCGTCCCTTTCCACCACAAGCACGTCGCCGTCCACCACCCCAACGCCCTTCGTGGTGACCATCAGCCTGACCGAGCCCATGGCGGACTTGAACGAGACCGACGTCATCATCACCAACGGCACCCTCCAATCGTTCACACCCAACACAGAGAGGGGCGAGAACGTCTCCTTTTCGGCAGCAGTGGTCCCCAACGTGACTGACGGCGAGTGGGGCGCGGTGGAGGTCAGGGTGCGGGAGGGCGCTGGGAATGACGTGGCAGGGAACCCCTCACAGGCCAGCGGCAGTCTCGTTATGCAATATGGTGGGCGACACACGCACAGCAGAGCACAGCACAGCACAGCGCAACACACCGCAACACAACAGAAGGGAATCGTGTGTGTATGTGTTTGTTGTACGTACCCGTGTAGTGCCGAAGGTGAGGTTCACGACTGCCTGGCTCACCCCGACGGCGTCAGTGCGGCCCGTCACCACCCCCAATGTGTTCCATCGGCTGGCGATAGCCGCCAGGCCCTTCTCCATGACCGTCAACGGGACCTCCCTGACATCGAGCGTCCCACAGCTCCGCACCACCAACCAGCACCGCACATACGCCGCCCTCTTCCGACGCAGCGGAGACATCTCTTGCGCCGACGGTCTTGCAAACGCATCCCGCCTCCTCTCTCCCCCCGTCCAGTGCGTCCCATCTGACGACATCATCCCCTCCACTGTCACATGTGGGCCCTTTGAAATGGACTCGGCGGCTTCCTATGAGCTCTGTGTGTGCGATGCCGTCGAGGACTCGGCATATCGGTGCAACGGCAGCGACTGGTCGGCCTTCAGCCACGGAGCGCGTAGCCTCCAAAGCGGCGAGGCCGGCACCCTCAGCGTGCCCCGAGGCAGCGTCGAGCTGGAGGTGGGCGACTCGGGCGTCCCCAATGCCAAACTGACCATCACCGCACCGGCGTCGAAGTCTCCCAGCCTCTTGTTCGTCGGCACGTCGGTGTTCCTCACTTCAAGCCCCAGATGCGACGACATGGGCGGCAACGGCACGGTGGCGCGGCGGGCCAGCGCCCTCTGCTCGCGGATCCGGCGGCACTCTGACGACCTCCTGCACGACGTGTCTTGCAGCTACGAGCTGGACGAGTACCCGCCCCCGGGGAAGTACACCATCTGCTGGGGCAACCCCCACACACAGCACTTCATCACCCTCGGGCCAATCGACACTTTCAAGATCCTCCCCAGTGCTGCCTCGTTTGCCTGCCGTCAGGCGCTGCAGCGGGCTGACGTCGTCAGCGTGTGCAGTGCACGGGTGCCTTCCCGTCTGCTGCCGGAGCCATCGGCTCTCGTCCTGTGCTATTCCCAGTGCAACCTCCCCGCCGGGTCGAGGTCTCAGCGCATCGGCTGCCCCCTGCCTGAGTCGACGTCAGGTGCGCGGCCGCCCCTGCTGTCGGACCCAATGGCGTGCATCAATGTGGAGCCGCCGCGGGTCGTCGGCTCGTCACTGTGGAGCGATCTGGGTGGAATACACATTGACTTCGACGTGGCTGTGGGGCCACTTGCAGCAAGCGCCGTCCCAACAGGCAGCCAAACCAACGGCAGCAGCCCTGCGGTCGATTGTGGTGCACTCCTCCCTCCTGAGCTGCTGAGTGAGCTGGGTAGCGATCCCAGATGTTACTGGGCTGCCGGAACGCGTCTTGAGGTCGCCTTAGGGTGGAATGCGACGTTCGGTGCTGGTGGTGGTGGTGAGAGAAATGCGACCATCTTGCCAGGCCGTGTTCAGAGGCTCGATGCGGCCAGGGACGTGCCGACGGTCGAGTGGGTGCAGAACGACGAGCAGAGGCTTACAGCCCGGGTGGAGCTGCCTGCTGCCCGGCCGCACGTGTGGCTCTCTGCCCCAGCGGTCATCCCCGCGTGTACGGGTGTGGATGTCTTCGGTGAAGCCTCGCTTGTCGGCCCTGGGAGGCGGTTTGCCCGAGTGGAGTGGTCATGCCACGTCAGGACTGGCGGCAGTGAGGGCGATGGTAGCTACCACGGCACACACGAGTGTCCCGAAGAGCTGAAAGAGGTCTTCCACAACGCATCGGCTGCCCAGCGAATGATCCTCAGTGTTCCCCCTGCCATGACCGACCCTGCCCTTTTGCGAAAGGGCTTTTCCTCCACTGCAGGGGATGGTGCTGATGGCGATGGCGTGGCTCTGGAGGTCTCGCTGGTCGTCGAGAACTTCCTGGGATGGCAGACAAACGCCACGGCTGTCATCAACGTGTCATCAACGGATGATCCTGTGGCCGTCGTGCGCCCCATGACGCCTCAGAGCATCGTCAGTGCTGCTGGGGACAAGGTATCCTTTGAGGTGGCGGCGTTCGCTGCGACCAAGGGCAACTGCTCGGAGGCCTCCACCGGGCGGTGCCTCACCGACATTCTTGCTGCCCGGCTGCCCGTCGACGTCGAGTGGGTGTTTGCCGATGGATCCCAGATGGGCGGCATGACGCGCCGACCGAGGGTCTCCTTCTCGCCGCAGGAGTCAGTCAACATCTCGGCTCGCATCACAGTCAGGAGCGACCCGACAGCTGTGGCGGAGGTGCCCTTCACGGTGACCATCAACCACACGCAACCGCATCTTGTCATCGAGGGCCCGGCGCGTGTGGCGGTTTCCTGCCCGTTCACACTCACTGCTGTATCATTCCCAGAGGACCGCCGGCAGTCGCCTGCCTACGCGTGGAGCTGCAGATACAACAACACAGCAGGGGAGAGCTGCTTCGCTGACCCAGAGAGAAATCCGCTCGGCAATGCGACTGCAGCGTCTGTGGCCATTGATGCGGTGTTGTTGAGACGGGAGGGCCTGTATGTCTTTGGGGTGCGGAGGGGTGGGGGAGAGGAGGGTGAGGGTGATGGTGATGGTGGTGCAGGGGGGTTTGTGGAGCATCGTGTGGCTGTAGTTCGGTCACGGTATGCGATGGGCGTGGCGAGGATGGGGGACATGCAGAGACTGCAGATGAGTGTCCAAGGGCGAATCAACATGAGGGCCGAACTCGACGTGACCGAACAATGCCAGCTCCCGGTAACCCCACCACGCCACACACACACACACACAGAGAAACAGAGAGAGAGAGAGAGATACTCGTGGGGCATATCCTAGATGCATCCATCCCTTCCCTCAGGCTGACGTGCTATGGTCCTGGGAGGTATCCCGGCTCCCCGCCCCATCCCTCACCTCCCTCCCCCCTCGCAGACTCCCACACACACTCGTGACCTCCTTCCCACCCTCATGGGCCTCCACCGCACCCGCTCCCACCATGAAGGTCTACGGCCGGCTGGCATCCAACACGCTGGCGGCTCCGGCGTGGTACAGCTACGCGCTGGTGGTGTCGGGAGCCGACGGGGTGGCGCTGTGGCATCACGAGTCGGCGCCCTTCGTGGTGCACGCTGCGCCTGTGCACGGGGAGGTCCGGGTGCACCCTCACCAAGGGGAGGAACTGTGCGCGGCGTTCCGGATGCAGCAGGGAGGTAGGCATGCCATGGCATGCATATGCATGTGTGTGTATGTCATGTCATGTCACTATCCATCCATCCATCCGGTTGTGGTGTGTGTGTGTGTCTCTATGTGTGTGCAGGTTGGGGCACGAGCGCAGGGCCTCTTGAGTACTCGTACGCGCGGCGGCTGGTGGTGGATGGTGAGGTGGACGTCAAGTCAGAGGTCCCGTTGAGCAGCTGGTCGCCAGAGGCTGCCTTGGTGGTGCCGCTCACAGTGCCCCCAGGCATGCCCAACGCCACCTTTGTCATCGTGGGGCGGGCCAGGGACCGATTTGGCGGCATTTCGTAACCTCACACCACTCACCTGGATGGCTGGATGCATGAGGCACGTGATTCATTGGTGTGAGTGTGTCTGTGTGTGTGTGTGAGTCAGTGAGGCGGCTGTGTTGCCCCGTGTGGTGGTCACCCGTCGTGTGCTGAGCCAGGAGGACGTCTCGTCCGCCCTCGACCTCGCCAGCGCCGAATCTACACCGCCATCAGGTGAATGAACCAGCCCCCCGCCCGCCATCCAGATCGATCGACCACGTGTGCTGTGCTTGATTCATCCATGCAGTCGCCCTAGGACTGCTCATCAGCGCCGCCGGCTCGCTGCAGGACACCGAGGAGGCGGAGGCGGCCAACAAGACAGCCGACGCTGAGAAGGAGGTCGGTCCCAGGGTGCCGTCTGAGGCCGACCGTGCTGTGAGTGTGAAGCTGCTGTCGAGCCTTGGGAGTGTGGTTCAGCGGCAGACGGAGGGCGAGGAGCTCACCGACGGGTCAGTGGCGCTGCAGAGCGACGCCATTGGCAACGCAGTCGTGGCCGTCGACAGGAGGGGCACTCTCGACAAACCCAACTCCAAGAACGTACGTACGTCAGACAGCCACCCCACCCCACCGACAGACAACGGGAATGTCTGTGTGCAGGTACTGAACACGATGGACACCTCTCTCAGCGGCGCCAAGCGTGTCGGCGGTATGGAGCAGAGGGCGGCCGGCAACCTGGTGGACGCCAGTGTGCGCATCCTCCAGCGGCAGGCCCCCAGCAGACAGCCGGTGTCGCCGTCGAGCAATAGCACCGCGACCAAGGCCGTGGAGGCGGCCCGGCGACTGCAGCAGGAGGTGGAAGACCAGCGAGCCATGGCCAAACAGCTCGTCGGGGCCGCAGGGAACGTCGGTATGTTATGTGAGGGAAGGGAAGCACGCCGAACGTGTATGTTATGTGGGTGGTGTTGTGTATGTTATGCGTGTGTGCAGCTGAGCTTATGGGTAAGCGTCTCAAGAAGGGCAACAAGGTCGTCGTCGAAAAGCAGGGCCTCTCCGTTGCTGTCCTCGCAGACGTAAGTGACGAACGAACAAAACCCTTGCCACGACTAACTCAACACAACGCAATGCACACACAGCAACAATCTCTCAATCTCTCTCTCCTTCATGTCATGTGTGTCATGTGTGTGGTAGGACCCGAGTCGCCTGCTAGCGCGTGGCGGCACCACCCTGCCCACTCGCAGTGGCAAGGTGTCGCTACCGTCGCTGGCCTCCCTGGACACCCCCGCAGCCCGGCGGGCGGCAGAGGAGGGACCCAACGGCTGTCGTGCCTCGGCTAAGGTGGCCGCCAAGACAGTGGCGTGGCCTGCCAATCCATTTGGATTGGGGGAAGCAGCCGGGCAGTGGGGCGACACGGCCGTCGGGGCTGATATGCTCTCCATTTCTCTGAGCCAATGCGACGTACGCGACCAATGAGCGCCACGCATGTGTGTGTGTGTGTGTTGTGATGCTGTCTTTCTTTCTATGTAGGAGGACCTGCGCGTGCACAACCTCTCAGAGCCCATCAGGATAGTGCTGCCCATCCCCCGCCCCCAGCCGTCCGACGCCGCCCTCGCCTTCGCAATCGACCTCAAACGTAACCTCACCATACAGACGTGGCGGCAGAACCTGACCCTGACCGAGGAGGACCTCCCCCTGCCCCTCCCCAACATCACCACCATGTCCGTCGACCAGAAGCTCGCATGGGCCAGCGACCTCTCGGCCATCAACCGGTCCATCGCCGACCCCACGGCCATCAGGGCACTGAGGTCCCTCAGCCTGTCCGTGGACCCTCGTGTGTGTGCCTTCTGGGACGAGGAGGGTGGGAGGTGGTCGAGTGAGGGGTGCGTTACGAGAGGCGACCTGAGCAACGCCACACATCTGGTGTGCGACTGCACACACCTGACGGACTTCTCGGCGCTGCTGGAAGTGGTGAGCTGGGTGGGGGGGCTGGGGGTGGAGAAGGATCTGCCAGCCATCCCGGTGTTGTGTTGTGTTGTGTTGGGTTGTTTGCTGCACGTTGCTTGCTAATTGCAGACGTGGGATGTGTTCAAAAATTTCGGCCAGGCTTTTGTGGTGTTGGCAGAGCGGGGGATCGAGGCCCTGATGGAGCTCAACCCCAACAACCTCGGCGTCTGGACGGTCTTCGCCATCACACTCATTCTCCTCGCTCTCATCATCTTGTGAGCAGCTCATATGCTATGCCCCCACGCGCAGCACCAACACGCACTCACTCACACACAGTTGCTGCGGGCGTGGCGTCTTGTGTGTGCAGTGCGTGGCGGTGGGACAGGAAGCACCCCCTGACGGACGAGCTGCTCAAGCGGCTGCTGCTGAGCGACGCCGCCATCCGGACCAAGTACCTCGACTACTTGGAGGCCAAAGAAAGACCCAACTGCTGTGTGCGAATATACAGGTGTCTAATGCATTTACCAACTTCCACTACACGAGCACCGCTTATTTTTTGTTCTCTGCATGCTGCTTACCTGTGTGTGTGCCTGTGTGTGTGTGTGTGTGTGTGTGTAGGTCTCTGCGTGCCCGGATGCGTGGTGACAAGGAGGTGCAGCTGCCGGCCTTCTACCGCGACTGGGCCATGGCACGCGACCTCAGAAGAGAAGTCGAGGAGCTGGCCAGGACAGGAGACCCCAAAGCCCGACAGGTCAGTCAGCAAGCAGCAAACCACACACACGCTCACACACTCACACACACAGACACAGACACGCCAGCACGCGCAGTCAGTCACTGATTGGGTGCACCTGTCTTCCCTCTCTCTTCCCCTCTCTCTCCCTCTCTCTGTGCAGCTGCGGAACTTGATGCGTCGCCACGAGACATATCAGGTGGCCCGTCGGGTGCACGAGCTCCCGACGCTATCCGAGATCCTCGCGGCCAAGATGCTTCCGCGCATTCAGCAGAGGAAGGCCACTAAGGGCCAGGCGGCGAGACACAGCTGGCCTGTGCTAAACAAAAGGGGAATCGGCACCATGCCCATGCAGCCACAGGGGACCGTCGACAGCCTCTCCCCGTCTGCGACCATGGCCCCGACCGAGCCTCCCTCATCGAAGCTTGACAAGAAGAAGCTCTGGACGATGCGGTCGCTGGGCGGCGCACTGCAGCAGCAAAATTCACTGCGACTCGTCGAGAGCGGCCAACTGGAGGAGGTAACCCACCCCACCCACACACACAATACCCAAACATAGAACGCCGCGCCATGCAATGCCATCGATGGTGTACTGTGTTGTGTTGTGTTGTGTTGTGTGTCAAGGCGGTGAGGTATCTGCACCGGCTGGCCGTCAAGAAGCAGATCGTCGCCGCAACCACTATCGGTGGGTCGGTACCCACAAGAAGGAAGGAACTCAGTCACATCGATCATGGCTGACTGCCTGCGTGTCGTCTGTATGTGTATGTGTGTGTGTGTGTGTATGTGTGTAGGTAAGCACTGGCGAGGCATTGCTGTCCGCCGTTCGCTGGGTGAGCTGGGTCGCGACGGCAAGCCCTCTCTGAGCGAGCCCGAGAGCGAGCATGATGGTGCCGACGCCGACATTGACGGCGTGCAGATCCCCCTCTCCCCCTCCTTCGCCGAGGCCGTCGCGCGGGACCTCTCGACCCTCATGGGAGGCTCCCCCTCCTCCCGATCCCTCCCACCCTCACTCTTTTCGCAATACATGGACGACGAACAGGGCGAAGCCGAAGACGCTGATGGCTGGGTAGATCTCAGACCTGACGTCGGCAGCAAGGCGGTCAGCATGACCAAGACGCGATCTGAGCCGACCGTCCGTTTGTCGGCGGCCAGGCGGGGCGTGCTGGGCAAGAGTGGGTCGTCAGGTCTGCAGCAGCCGGCCGCCGGGGACGACGAGGCCGACGTGGACGACGGCAGTGGGCTGTTTGGCAAGGAGTTCGCCGGTGTGGAGGGCACGGCTGTGAGGGTGAGGGTGGTGCAGCTCGATGACTATGATCTCGATCATCCAACTGACGACGACGACGAGGGCGGGGTGGACACCTCCCTTCTCATGCGCAGCGGCACCTTCGGGGGCCCTCGCGTCAACGCCATGAGGCCACTCGCACACCATCGCGTCACCCGGGACCCCTCGTGTGTCGTCTGGGAGTCCGCACATATGCCTGCACGCATCGACGTCACCGGCAGGAAACTCTCAGTATGCGAGCAGCACACACACACACACACACAAGACCATACCCCTCCCGAACAACACAACACAAACACGCACACACATTTGCTGTCTCTCTATCGCTTTTACTTTCTCGCCAGCTGTCGGTCCGCGAGCCAGAGCTTGGTCCGTCGCTGCAGAGCACCTGGTTTGACAAGCTGTTCGCCGTGGGGTGGGTGTCCCAGGGGTTGCAGATGGAGCGACAAGGAGGGCGAGATGCAGAGGGGGTTGGCGGTGGTGGCCAGCTGGGCCGGTACGTCATCCCCATGGGGGCGGTGGAGGCATGCGACAAAGGGCAGGACGGAGAGGAAGAGCAGGTGGACGAGTTTGGTGGTGGTGATGGGGATCATGATGATGCGACTGCTGTGGTGAGCGGGCAGAATGACAATTGCAGCGAGGGCACTTGGTGCGATGGATGAATGTCTGATTGTGTGTCTATCTATTGCTTCCCCCTCTCTCCCTCTCTCTCTCACGTCAGGTGCACGTATCGCTGGACTTCTTGTCTCGTCAGTTTGTGTTGCGCTGTGAGTTCGACCATCCCGACGACGCCACAGCATTCACCACGAGCGTCGACCGCGCCCTCCACCCCCACCAACACAACCATTGCCTCCCCCACCAGCCCCTCACCGACTCGCCCAACGGCGGCGACAGGACCTCACGCACACACACCACGGCAGCCTCGCTCGCCCTCGACAAGGACGAGGGCGATGGCTATGGCGACGAGGCCAGCAGACACAGGGAGGCGCGCGCGGACGACAAAGACACAGAGGTGGCGAAGGAGAAGGACAAAGAGAAGGAGGTGGAGCTGCTTCCCATGGTGGCCGACGAAACGGAGGTGCGCCACGCCGTCAAGAGGCTCGAAATCGCCGACTGGTCGCCTTTCAGGATCGCACGGTGAGAGAAGAAGGAGGCAGCAAGGCCCGTGTGACGACGACTTCCTTGCTGTGTGTGCTTGATTCAATTCATGCGTTGTGATGCGATGCATGCGATCTGCCAGGGCCGTGTTGAGCCGTGAGCACCCGGTCCCCAACGCCTTCGGGGTCGACGTGAGCCTCAGCCGCGTGCAGCGCACCCTGTTATTCGCCGCGGACGTCATGGGCGGCTTCATGTTCGACGCTCTGTTCTTCACGGCGGCCCCTTCGCCCCTGGGAGTCAAGAGGGGGCAGATCAGTGGGGTGGGGGAGAAGTGGGGGGCCGGTGAGGAGGAGGGCGAGTTCGACATTGTGCTGCTGGACTTCAACTTTGGCGACGAGAGCTCGCGGCTCAGGCTGACCTGGAAGGTGGTCGTGGCCACCGTCATGAGCCTCATACTTATGTGGTCAGTATGCAGCCCCTGAATGAGTCCATTGGTTGTCAATCACCTCTCTCTCTCTCTCTCTCTCTGTGTGTGTGTGTGTGTGTGTCCGTGTCGGTGTGTGTGTGTGTCTGTAGGCCGATAGAGCGCTTCTTCGACTGGCTGTTTGTGAAGGAGGTGCCGTTAGTCAAGCCCTCCAAGTACGGCGTCGCGAGCAAGGGCAAGGGCAAGGGCAAGAGCCGCAGCACCAAGCTCGACGCGGAGGAGGCCGAAGTTGAGGAGACCATCCTGTGGGGCATCGACCAGCAGCAGAAGACCCGTGGCTACAAGTTCTACCTCACCGAGGACGAGAAGGCCGCGTGGGTCCGCCGCACAAGGCGCAAGGAGTGGGTGGGTGTGTCGGTGGTGTCGCTCTTCATTGTGATAGCGCTGTTCTACCAGCTCATGTTTGCGGCCCTGCTGGGTGAGAATCTGCAGAACGTGTACGACTTTGTGGCGTCCAACGGGCTGGCTGTCCTGGAGGAGCTCATCCTCTGGCCCCTGCTCGTCTCCCTCGTCACCATACTCATCGTCACGTACGCAACGAAGCACCTTCACTCCGCGGGCCTTCGCCGCACTCTCTTTCTGTGTCCGCACTCTCTTTCTGTGTGTGTGTTTGTGTGGCTGTGTGTGTGCAGCATTGCTCGCCACACGAGAGCATTTGACTGCTGCCTGCGTCTGTGCCCCCGGATGACCGACTTCAGCAGAGCGATCGCCAGCGATGAGGTGGGTGGGTGGGGGGACATACACATGTATTGGGGCACACACACACCGACACACAGCACAGGTAGATGAATGGCGCCAAGATCGATCTCTCTCTCTCTCTCCCTGTGTGTGTGTGTGTGTGTGTGTGTTGTGATGTGTGCATGCAGGCCGAGTTGTTTTACCTGCAGGAGGCCGACGCCGAGCGGATCGTCAAGAACCCCGGCGAGCTGCGCAGCTACACCACCATGAAGGACAAACACAGCAGCAACACCAAGGCCAAGACCAAGACCAAGACCGCCAAACACAGCAGCACCAGCAGCACCACCAGCACCAGCAAAAGCAGCGGGAAGGGTGAAGGCATCGGCAGGCGGATCCACAGCAGGCAGACGACAGTCGGGTCCATCCACTCATCGACCACACACTCGCACACCCACACACATACACATACACTGACGCTGTCTGGGGGCTCCTCGGCCGATGGGGGCCAGACGGCAGCTCACCAGACGGCTCCGAAGGCGGAGCTGACGGTGTTCGATCCCAAGCCCAAAGACGTGCCCTCGCCATGACGGAGGGAGGAATGGCTGACATACGTGTGGGTGTGCGGGCGGGTGCACTGCATCGATGTGTGTTGGTTGGTGGTAGTGGTGTGTTGTGGTGTGTTGTGTTGTGTTGTACTGTGTGCGTGAGGGGCATCTATCTGGGTGCATTGCATATGGGTGGGTCGGTTCCCTGCCAGCGTGTATGCGATAGATGCATGAGTGCGTCAATCGCAGCTCGCTGCTCTGCTAAGCTCTCTCCGCTTACCTACTCTCTCTCTCCCGCCCTCCCTAACTGCTGTGCATCTCTGTCTTTCTCTCTCATCTGTATGCTTGTGGGTGTTTGTGTGCATGAGAGCTCCGTATTGCATGAGAGCACCCAGTGAGCTGAAGGCCCAGGAATGGGATGGATGGAAGAAGAGAGAGGTGCGAAACCTCCCAAACCTCCCAAACCTGCCTGCCCCCCTCGGCCACCGTACGTCTTCCATGATTATTGAGCGATGCATGTCCGTGCGTATGTATTCCCCTGCCTAGCTCACCTCAGCCCAGCTTGTCCACCAACGAGCGTAATTTGGCTCGTGGCGGCGCTGCCCCCGCAAAAGAGAACGAGAGATGCTGGCAGGGCTCGTGTGTGTGTGTGTGTGTGCTGCTGCTGCTGCTGCCATTGTTGATTTGCGGTTGTAATGTGGCGTAGCGAAGAGGGAATTGTCATTATCGAGTGATTTCGATGGACGCGTGGCGGGGGCATGCAGCTTGACATGACTGACACGGTGACAAATGAATGCAATCAGTGGACAGCTGCATACCTAACATACACACGTTTGTGTGCGTATGTCGTGGGTGGGTGTGGTGATGTACCTACTACCCACCCCACCTATCTCTCTCTCTCTCTCTCTGTGTGTGTGTGTGTGTGTAACATAGAGACCTATGGTAGGTCGCTGTGTCCTCGCCTCCCTGTGTGTGTCTATCGCGCCGCTAGTCTAGTTTGGGGTGCGTGGGGGTGGGGTAGGTGGGTGTCGTTGGCTGCCTATCTATCTATCTATCGCACTCGACTGACTGACTGACTGACTGCCGGCTGGCACACAGGCAGGCAATCCAATGACACCCACCCCCCCACCATGCATTTGGGGCAGCTAGCTAGTATGATGGATGGATGATGCGGTCCGGTCATTGTTACTGACTGCATCCTGCCTACCCTCATATCTGCGTATATATATACGCTATGCTTGTGAAGATATGGTATGTGCTCTTTATCCATCCATCCATCCAACCACGCCCCATGCCATAGAGCAATGGACGGCCCTTGCGCTGCGCGTCGATTGCATACTGATTGATACATATGCTGCCTAAGGCTGGCTCTGCCGGCCCGCCCTGGCTTTATCTATCTATCTCTGTGTGATGATGATGATGAACGACCGCCCTTTTTTCGCAATACAGACACACACACACATACAATCTGTCTGCCCACATTTTTCGCTCTCTCGAGGGTCTGTCTGTCATGGCCATCGCATATATCGCACCTGTGAGTGAGTCGTGACCTGTGTGCCTGTCTGTATGCTGAGCGGGTCCGTGCGCTCTCTGCATGACGTGTTCTCTGCTGGGTGGCCCGGCCCATGATTGGGTTTGAGATACCATCGTACTGTAGTAGTGATGGTTCGCGTTCGTTGGCGGTGCTGACTCGTCGTGGGACGACGGGTTTATCCGGCTCCATCTGGGTAGTCTACGCACTGGCTGGGCCGGGTGGGTGGGTGGCTGCCTGTCGCTCCCTCTCCCTCTCCCTCTCCCTCTCTTTCTCTCTTTGTGTGTGTGTCTGCTGCATACCAGAAGCGGCATGGCATCGACAAAGACCCCCTTCAATCCTGGGCAGCCACTCGTAAACACGGCTGTCATTTCCGTGGATAAGCCCAAAAGAAATGGGACCTCTCTCAACAAGTAACCGCTAGATCCGATCCCTTTCTCTCGAGTAGTTCAATTGCAAGACTTTGTCTGTGCCACTGACACCAGCTCTCACTGAGTGAACAAGACAAGACAAGACAGACCAATGACGGACATCGAGTCAGGCGGCAAGGTGCGCGAGCGCACGGCGTCCGAGTCCACCGACAAAGGCCTCGCACACGGCCACCAGAAGCTCTCCGTCACGGCCGTTGTGGCGCTCGTCGCCATTGCCGCTGTGGCCGTTGCTGCACTGATCGTGGGCAGCGTTGCCCTTCATAATGATCTCGTGCAGAGGGCCAAGGAGACCGCTACCGATGGCGTGGTGAGCTGAGACCGCTACCGAATGGCAGATCCAATGAGTCCGGGAGCGGTCGTGTGTGTCGATGACTGTCTGTCTGTGTCGGTGTCTGTGGTGCAGATGGTGCACATGACGGTCGGAGCGGACGAGCAGCATCGGGTCCTGATGGCTTTGAGCATGGCCAATCGCATGGTACGCCATCAGCGGCCGCCTGGGTGCCTGCGTGTCTGCGTGTGGGCGGCACAGTCTGTGTGTGTGTGTGTGTGTTTTAACATCTCTGCAGGTCGACATGGGCAAGGACGTCATTGTGTTCTGCGATGTCGACTGCCCGCCGCTTATGGCCAAGGACAGCGAGAACTTCATGCTGGAGGCGTTCAAGGCCAACACGACCAAGGATGGTCTCATTGACACGCTGGTGGCCAGGGGGGTGCCCATCCACGTGTGCCCCGGCTGCCTCGCCAAACACGGCCTCTCAATGGAGGACGTCAGGGACGGTGTCGACGAGGTGACCAGCCACACACACACGCACACACACACGAGAGGGAGGGAGGGAGGGAGGGACACAGGAGTGCATCCATCACACATCTGTGTGTGTGTGTGTGTGTGTCCAGGTCGACGCCAATGAGTTCTTCGCCTTCACACAGGGGCGAATGCTTCACTTCGACTACTAATTGCACAGCCTTTTTGGTGCAGCACCCTCTCTCTCCACCGTTTCTAGTGGGCTCTTTTTGGTACATCAAGGTCTGTGTGTGTGTGTGTGTGTGAGTATGGGGGCGTTTGGGGATGCGTCTTCACGCAGCTAGGGGTGCAGTGTAGGGGCGTGTGAGACTGACTGACTGACTGACTGACAGAATGACAGACAGCGCCTCAGATCTGATCTATCAGATCAGGTCTACCAGACCATTTCAGTCTTTGTCCGTCGCCCAGGCGATCGGGGGTTGCTCTACGAGAGTGTGTGTGTGCGCTCCTTTATTCATCGGCTGTGTGTGCTTGCTCCTTTCGTACGTGGATCGATCACGCTTCATGGGTCTCTGTGGCTGGCGTGTGGTGCGTTGTGCGGTGGCTTGATCCATTGCGGATGGGCTAATTTGCGCGGTGTGGCTGTGGGTGTGGGTGTCCATGTGTCGTTGGGTCGTGAGTAATGATACAGGCATCTGTGGACACGCACCGGCGGGCACGATCGATGGACAACGGATGCTCATCAGTTTAGAGAGAATCCGATATGCCAAGACTATCTATCCCCGCTGTGCGTGACAGAATGAAAACAAGTCGTCGCAATGTGCTCAATGTGCTCAGACACGCAGCACCACGCCCCACCAAATAGATAGATGGATGGCAGACACACAAGACAACATACATACGCCCTGTTCGTTTCGGGACTGCTCCATCCATTGGAAAGTGTGTTGACTCAGCCAGCCAGCCCTTAGTGTCTCTCCATCCATCCATCCAGGCTCCACCCACCCTCCGTCCGTCCGTCACGCACACCGTCCGTCGTCCCGTCCCACATACAGTACCTGCCTACGTGTCAACGCACCGGTGTGACTGGCTCATTCACTTACTGCGCCCCCGACCCCAGTGAGCCGAACCCCGGGGTCGGGTACTCCGTCGTGTGCAGCTCCGTCACAGCCGCCGTCGGGCTCGCACCCGGCCGTCGGGCCTCCAGCCCGCCCCCTCTCACCACCCGCCCCTCGTGGACCACATCCATGTCAGGCGAGTCGCCGCCCTCCTGCTTGGCACCATCGGTGAAGGGAGACGGTGACGGCGGGCCCCGGTGGATGGTGCTCGACTTGGTGGGCGACGCGAAACGGGTGAATGTCGTGGTGGTGGTGGTGGCGGCGTTGTGTCGGGGAGGGGAGGAGGAGAGCACGGTGGGGTGGCGCTGCTGGGGAGACGCTGATGACGCCAGCAGGGGCAGCCGGAGGTTCTGCGCCTGACACACACATGACATGCGAACAGAGGAATAGAGACAGAGACAAACAAACAGACAGACAGACAGACTCTCTTTCTGCTTACGTCGTGCTGCAGGTAGATGCCTCCAGTGGCCGTAGTCTTCCCAGCGGTGGCCACGTGTGGGAACTGGAAGCTGGATGTGGTGGTGGTCATGCCAGGAGCAGCACCAGCCGGCTCAGATTGCTGTGTGTACGAGTAGGCCGCCGGGTGCTCGGCGAGGTGGCGCTGCCTCCGCCGCTTGTTGACGATGGTGCGGGCGTTGATGTTGCCCTTGGCCGCTGCCTCCTCGTATAGCAGCAGCGCACGAGACACATCACGACCTGTGCCGATGCCCTGCAAGCAATGTGTGTGCACATGACATGATGTGGGGAGAGTGGGTGGTGGAGTGTGTGCCGACCTGACCTACCTGTTCTAGGAGGCGTCCGAGGTTGACGGATGCATCGGTGGAGCCGCCGGCCTGGGCCTTCTCGAAACACTCAACGGCACGCACATAGTCGGGCCGACCTGACGGACGGATGGGATACACACACACAGAGAGAGAGGGACCAATCAGTCCATTGGGTCGATTGTGAACTCACCGGCTTCATCAGCGGCACCCTGCTCATGACACAGCCCCAGGTTGTTCCACGCCTCAGGGTCGTTACTCTGGCCACACCACACACACCCACACACATCGACGTCACTCACTGTCTATCTTGTTGGTTCGGCCCCTCCCTTCCTTCCTTTGCCCACCCACCCACTTACCTGTTGTGCGGCCTTGTTGAAGTGTTCGGTGGCTTTTTTGGGGTTGGCCACGCCCAGCCCAGCGCCGCCGCAGAACAGCAGGTTGCCGATGCGAGTGTGGGCACGGACGATGTCCTTCTCCGCCGCACGACTGTACAACGCATACGCCTGCAACAGGTCTCTCGACACGCCTGCACAGCAGAGAGAGAGAGAGGGGGACGATGGAAGGGCTCTGTCTTGCTCTCTTGTGGCTGTGGTCTCTCTCTCTCTCTCTGTGTGTGTGTGTGTGTGAGGGGGGGGGGGGGTGTGCCTACCGATGCCGCACTCGTGCATCTGAGCCAGGTAGAAGAGCGCCTCCCCGTGTCCCTCATCTGCCGCCCGCCGCAGCCACTTGGCCGCCTCCACAAAGCGCTGACAGTGAGTGTGAGTGTGGCACACACACAGATGATATGATGACCTCTCTGTCCTCGTGTGCGTGAAATATAACATTGTGTCATTACGTCTTTGGAGGCCTGTGCGTTGGTGGCGAGCTTATAGAGGAGGATGCCGAGGGCCGCGGAGGCTTTGACGTGACCCCTGCGGGCAGCAGCCTCATACAGCCTGACCGATTCATCCATCCATCCATCGTGTGTGTGCTGTCACGTGCCCCTCCCTCCCTCCCTGCCGGCTCTTTCGCTCGGCTCTTTCGCTCGGTCAGTCGGTCGCTCACTTGGCCGCTGCATCTGTGTCCTCGGCGTGCACACCCACACCGGTCTCGTAACACACGCCCAGATTGTGGTGGGCGTTGGCGTGGCCCTGACATCCATCCGTCCCACACAGCCATCCACACATCCACATGCAGCCATCCATGCATGCGTGTGTCGTCAACGGGCGAGCTCTTCTTCACCTGTTCAGCGGCGATTTTGAAAAGCTCTGCTGCCCTTTCCGTGTCGCGGTTGCAGCCCTTGCCCGAGTAGAGCAGCGATCCCAGGTTGTTGAGGGCACGGGCGTTGCGCTAAATGAGACACACACACACACACACACACCATGCATCTCACGAATGGATGGATGGACAATGACTACCTGTTCGGCGGCCTTGTTGTACCACTCATAGGCCTGGTTGATGGATTTGATAACAAAGAAGGAGAGTGAATGGATGGATGGACGGACGGATGGACGGACGAATGGACTCGTTGCGTGGTCTTATGTGCGTGCCTGTGTACCCACCTTCCTGAGGCCCTGTGGGTAGTGGGGGGGCAGACCCATCTCATACGTGTAACCCAAATCCTGTACACACACACACACACACACATGGAGATAGATACGTATATTGTGTCGGTTCCCTCCCTCCCTCCCTCCCTCCCTCAGTCAGCACAGCACCACTTGCGCCTCGGCGTGGCCCATCCTAGCAGCCTGCACCACACAACGGACGCACATTGGAATACCCATCCCCTCCACCCCTCCGTCCATCCAGTGCGTGTGTGTGGTGGTCAGGTCACCTCACCCGCTCGTACAGCTTGGCGGCATTCAGGGGGTCCTTCGGGAAATCGGCAAACCCACGCTGACCCAACCAACCAGCCAACCAGCCAACCAACACCATGCGCACGTGTCCATTCATCGTGTGTGACGTGTGTGTGCTGTGTGGTCTGGTCTGGTCTGGTCCGCTTTGGCGTCCGTCCGGCGCACCTCACCAACCTCTATGAGTCGTGCAACGCGGTATATGGCGTCAGGGCAGTCCAGGTCAGCGGCCTTTTCGTACCAACACCGAGCCTCAAACATCCCTGTGTGTGGAGATATGTAGATGTGCGTGTATTGTGTGTGGTGGACAGACATATCATATTCGTTCCTTTGTGTGCGGTGCGTTAGTTACGCCTCTTCTTGGTGAGCGGGTCGATTTTGTCCCTGACGGCCTCCTCGACGCGCTTGTCCATCCTGGCCCTCGGGTCGCCACCCGACCGGGTCATCCCTTCTCCGGGGAACTGACACACGACACACACACATGCATCTCATGCATCTCATTCACCGCACACAGATCGATCACCCACCATGCCCCCCCAATCCTATCCTCCATCGGCCATCGGTCGCTTGCCTGCCCGCCTGCCTGCCTGCCCGTGTACCTCTCTCTTGGGCGAAGGGCTGAGCATCATGTGCACGTCGTTGGTCTGTCCGTCAGGGTCGAGTGACGGCCGCATGGCGTCGACGAGTCCCTCCTCGAGCAGAGCCCCCGCACAGGTCATGCCCTCGGGTGACCCACGGCGGGCCGCCAGCACGTACAAATCGAAGGCCTTCATGGGGCTGCACGACACACTGTGCCCGTACCTATGTGGTCGAGCAAAGGAGACAGGCAGCAAGGATGTTGTGGTGATATCTGTGTGTGTGTGTGTGTGTCCTGTGTGCTGTGTGTGCTGTCTGTTTTGTGTGCACCTGAATTTGTGTCCTTCGATGCAGAGCAGGGCGACATCGTCGAGAGGCTCCTGGGGCTCAGACACCACCACCGGCGCCAACACACCTCTGTCACACGAAGAACATAGACACACATAGAGAGGCCCCCGACACAAGAGAACACACAATGAGTAACAAGAGGCAGGCCCCCTCTCCCTCTCCCTCCTGTCTGACCGTCTGCCCAGTTCGGACTCGAGCCGTTTGATTTTGCGGAGTGCGTCGACGAGGGCCTTGCAGATGGCATTGGCGAAGGTCGACATGAACTTGAGCAGCTCCACCTCAAACCCACAACAGTCACGCAGGTAACGCTGCAACCTGTGCATGCCATGCCATGCCCCAACACAAGAAAGAGGCCAGGCCGTCTCTGTCTGTAGGTGTGGATGGGGGCATAGCATGCCATGCCATGCCATGCGTACCTTGTTTTGCGATTGCCGGAGCAGACGCCCGCGCAGCAGCCGGCCTGTTCCGCCCGCTTGAGGGCGTCCCTGAGCTGCTTGATGAGCACGCCCAGGGCCGCCTGCAGCATGCCCGTCGACTTGGCAAGCTTCTCGGGCAGATAATTCACAAACAGGCCGTGGTCTACGCCATCCATCGTCTCCTGAAGGAAAGAAATGACAAAACGGTTGTTATCAGAGGTGGCATTCATTGAATGCATGGTGCTGTGTGTTGTGTTGTGTTGTGTTGTGTTGTGTTGTGTTGTGTTGTGTTGTGTTGTGTTGTGTTGTGTTGTGTTGTGGTGCATAGGGTGGGTAACGACGTACGTTGATGCAGTTGGTTTCGCATTGGATTTGGAACTTGGCGGGGAAGGGGACGTCCGCCTTTGCAAGAAGGGCCGTCAGCTCAGCTGCAGCCGATGTCAACTGAGCCAACTCCGACATGATGAGCCACCTTTTCTCCCCTCCCTTGTGCGAGCTTCAAAAATTGGCGAGCTTGAACCCTTTCCTCCCATTGGGATGGAAGCAGGCGTTCCTTCAACCACGTTGGTTGAATGCCTTGCGTGCCGAGAGAGATGCAGTTGATGTGGCAGTGCCGAAGGAAGCTGCTGCGGTGGAGCTGGGGGTGGCGGTGGATGGTGCTCAAGATCTTGTGGCTCAACGGCGTGCACCCAGCGTCGCTCTTCGCTGAGGCCTCACACGAACGTAATTAAGATCCGGGGGAACACAAAAAGGGGCCTTTTTGATTTACTGACAGATGGATGGATGGATTCCGTCCCTCCCTGTGTGGTGTGGTTGTTTCTGGATGCGATGCCTGCAGCACTCCATGTCTACTTCATCAGACATGGGTCGGCTAGCTCAACCCACGACATCCCACATCTCTGTCTGTCTGTCTGTGATGTGTGTGGTGGTCTGGTCGATGTGGTCAGTGAGAAGCCCGCCGACCCCATCGCCAACCTGCACCTCAGCGTCAAGGGGCAGGAGAGAGCGGTCAGCCAGTCAGTCAGTCAGTCAGTCAGACCACCACTCACACATAGGCCAGTCAGTGGCATGTGATGTGTGTTGTGGCTGCAGATGGCGTTGGTGCCCTTCTTCCTCCCCGGCTTTCGAGAGAAGGGCAAGCTCAAGATACAGAGACCATCAATGGTACGGGGTGTACGGGGTGCATGCCAAACCTGCCAAGCCGGCTACTGGTGCGCGTGTGTGTGTGTGTGTGTGTGCAGGTTGTGGCTCAGGTTGCGTCAACGCTCTTTCCCTCTGAGAGGTCCCACGACACGGCAATCCCAATCGCCGCCGCTCTGGGCATACCCGTCAGGCCATTTCATCGACTCGAAGAGCCAAAGGTCACTCACACATACACAGACAGACAGATAGACAGAAAGGCATACACACACTCGTCTGTCTGTATGTGTGTGTGTATCTGTGTATCTGTGTGTGTGTGTGTGTTTGCCCCACCACAGGTGGCGCGTTATCTGTATGAGCAGGTGGTGGCCGCCGACAGGAACGACACGAACCTGAGCGTGCTGGTCATATGGGAGCACCAGGCCCTGCCCGTCCTTGTGCAGCATCTCATCAACCACCTCATGGCACACGCATTCTGCGAGGACGCCAAGAAGACCGCCAAGGAGGCCGCCAAGGGCCGCGCCGCCCTCTGCAGCCCAAACGCCACTCGCTTCAAAGACGTCCCTCCCCCTCTTCAATCTCACCCACCGCCCCCCGCCACGTTCTTCGACTCGTTCGCCCCCGCCTGGGCCGCAGGGAGTAATGTGACGGCAGTGAGTGTGCGGTCGCTGCGAGGCGATGGCGATGGCGGCGGCGGTGGCGGTGGTGGTGGGCGGCACTACTGCATCCCCGACTGGCACGACGATCGGTTCGATTTGCTGTGGGACTTGAGGCTCTCGAAGGTCAAGCTGAAGGATGGCAGGCCGCCGCCACACCCTCAGGGGGGAGGGGGAGAGGCCGATGACGACGACAGTCGGTGGAAGGACCTTGGTGATGGTGGTGATGGAGAGGCCGACACAGAGACGGACAGTGAGGCCGGGGAAGGTGCTGGTGCTAGTGGTGGTGATGGAGGGAGTGAGGAGAGTGATGAGAGTGGGTTGTGGCTGCGTGTGTCGCTGGGTGCCTACTGTCAGCACCTGCTTGCAGACGACGCCAAGTGCAAACCCAAGCTGCACTGGCAACACATCTGCCCACTCACAACAACCGAGGGTGGCTGGGGATAGATAGCCTGCCTGCCTGCCTGCCTGAGTGTCTGAACCCATGTAGACTAACTATAGTGGTACAAGGTAGGCAGGAAACTGGATTCTCCCTCCCCATTGGCTTGGTGCGTGTGGTGCCCCGCCCCGCCCCGCACACATCAAGGGAAGGAAGGAATGTGCCTAATGAATGAATGTGCTTACGTTGCGTACGTAGAATATGTAACCAAGTAGGAGGTAGGTGTATGCTATGCCATGCGGCCAGGTGGACAGTCTGTCTGTGTGCATGTATAGCCTTAGCAGGGATGGTGAGGGTCTCGGTGTCCGTCAAACATGAATGGCTGGCTGCATGGCCTGGTCGATGGACAGACACGTGGCGTGGTTGAAAGCGGATGGATGGATTGATGGATGACACTCTGGATTGCAAATCCAACGCGCGTTGAACTTCCGCCAATAAATGCGCAGAGCGATTCAAGTACACCGTCGAACGTCGACACATTCAGCAACCGCGCCCACACACACACACACACATGGCATCTACGTGTCAGATGCGCTTCCATGACCACACTGAATGCATTGCTATACACAAGATGCGTCCATCCATCCATCCATCCATGTATCCTACCTGCTCTGCATAACGCCCTCCGTTCCCCCCTCCGCCTCCCTCTTCCTCTCCGGTCCATCCTCGACCGGGGGTGCTGCCTCAGCGGGCCCTGCTGCTTGGCCCATCGTCTCGCGCTCAGCCTTCTTGCCCTGCTTGGCTGCCGGCACGCCTGTCGGCTGCTGGGGGCTGTCGGCCTTCTCTCCCTCTCCCTCTCCCTCTCTGTCTTGCCCTTCTTGCAGCAGCAGCTCATCGAACACCTCGCGCATCCTCTGATGAATCGAATCCATGAGTGAGTGGTGGGTGAATGGATATATGAACCATGCATGCCATGGACAGACAGAGAAGGAAGGCTGTGTGAAGGGACGGACGTTTGTGGGTGTCTGCGCTGTCTGCGTGTCTGTGTTGTGTTGTGTGTGCATCTCTCTCTCTCTGTATGATGTGACAGGCTGGCTGGCTGGCTGACCTTGACGCCTCTGAACTGCCCCCTGGCCTGGTCGTGTCGCTGTGTGGTGGACGTGATGAGCTCCTTCACCCACACATTGGGACTCTGGCCGGCATCGACGTGCCTGCAAAGCAATTCATTCAAACACGCCGGCCAAGCCACCAACGACACACACAGAGATGACTCACACCGCACCCTCTGTAAGGTATAAAGCATGCGTTGCGTGACTCACTCACTGCAGGAAGCTTTGCGGCAGGAACATTGGCCTCGAGAGGTCCTCCCTCTCCGCCCACTCGTACATCGACCGCAGCCGGCTCGTGTACCGCTTCCTGACGCGGTGGGTGGCAGCCGCAGGGGCAGACACAACACACACACACAAGATGGCCCGTACCTGTGATGTTTTCTTATGGTTGGGTGTGCGTCAATGAGGGAGGGAGCCTACAGCATCTTATCGAGCCTCTTAGCGTTCCTCTCACGGTCTGTGCTCCAGTCCTCCAGCACGATGCTCATCTCAGACAACACACGGACAGCTGCACGCACACACATCACATCCCACTCCCCCGACACAGATGCACATCCATCCAGGATAGGATGCGAACCTGAACCTGCAGATCTCTATCTGCTATCTGGGGTCTGGTCTTTCTTATTACCGTCTTGCAGATCTGGCACAAGCACCTTGATGGGAGTGGCTGGAGGGGATGGGACAGCTGCTGCAGCTGCTCCTGCTCCTGCTGCCGTCGATGCCGATGCGGCAGCTGCAAAGGCGGCGGCCTCGCCGCTTGCCCGCATCTCGGCTGCCATATGAGCAACGAAAGAACGCGCCTCCCCTTCTCTCCACCCTCTGCCAACCAAGCAACCAACCAACCAACCAAGGAACGAACCCTCTCACCCACGAGCTCGCACTGGACGCTGAACTCGGATCTTTCCTCCTCCTCTCCTCCTCTTCCGTCCACCGTCCTCCATGCAGCTCATGTGCACGATCTTCGCCCTCGGCGCCGGGCTTCTCATCCATCCGGGTCCGTGCACTGCAGCAAGTCACACGCGCCACCGATGCGATGTACCAAAGGAAGGAGACTGACACCCCTGGCAGCCCTGCATCGGTTTGTCTGTCTATGTCGACACACGTGTGTGTGAATGCAATGCAGCCTGGGCCGGCCTGAGGAGGTCTTTGCAGGTGGGTGTTGGGGGTGAGGAAATGCCGCAGCACGAGGGCTATTCGTTCAAGGGAGCCGGCAACTGCATGACGCCCAATAAGACCATCGTCCATGGCACGTGGTACCCGATTGTGGGCCAAGAGGGCGAGCTGGTGCGTCGGTGGGGTGGGAGGGACGGAGGCAGGCAGATGCTGACTGGCTGGCATGGGATGAATGGATGGATGGATGTACGTTGGACACATGTGCTGTAGGTCCGCCTCGCAGAGAACTACGAGGAGCAGGAGGCCGGTATCATCAATGCGGAGATATGTGCGGGCATCTGCACCGACCTGGGCGAGCAGTGTGCCGCGTTCACCACGGGCATGAGAAGGTACCCACACACAGACGTGCGAATGCCATCCATGGGTCCACATACATACATGTGTTTGCGCTGCGCTGCGTTGATTTGGGTTGGGTGCAGTGGTCGGTGTGGTCTGTTGGCGCCCAACAGCACGATGAATGAGACGCTATCGGGCAGCCTCACCGACAGAGAGGAGTGCTTTGCGCGACGCGCCGAGGGAGGTGAGATGAGACACGAGGGCGGTGGGTGGTGCGGGGGAGATGGGATGGATGTGGTCGTCTGGTGGCCGAATGTGTCTTCCTTCCTTTAGATTTTGAGAGTGTGGGGAAGGTAGAAAAACTGCACACACACTGAAAGGACACACACACACACAGAGGGGATGTCTTTATGTGCGTCATCTGGGCAAGGGCTACTGCCGCACTGAACTCGAGGATGGCACATTGGAAGCCGGGTGGGCACATGCAGTACAGATGGATGGCGTCCACACACGCACATGTACCTGGATGTCCGTGTGGATGGCATGTCATGGCATGCAGGCCTTACATCACTCTCTTTGCCGAGGAGCTCGGCGCAGACACACTGGAGGACTGCATCGAGTAACCAGCAGCACCATCGACATGCTGACTGACACACATGCCATGCTCACGCACCGCTTTCTCTCCTTGAATTCGGTGCATGTGTGGTTGCCCAGGGAGTGCGAGAGCCTCAATGGTCGCGTGAGCGACCCGTCCCCCCTGTGCACGGGCATCGAGCTGCGCGAGGCGTGTGAGCTGCAGCTGGCACCCATGACCCCCACCACCACCGAGGCCAACCTCTGCTACCAGAAGAATAGCTAACCGAGTGGTGGTCGGATGGATGGCGCCGATCCCGTGTGCGTGCATTGGTGTGTGTGCGGATTTTGGCAGGCAGCCATGACCCCAGCTGTTTGTCTCCTTACGTATTGCTGGAGTGATGGATGCGTGTGTGTGTGTCATCGCAAAGAAGGAGGCTGGCTGCGTGTCGTTTATGTAGATGTTAACTAGTTAAGTGTTATGTGTTGCCTTGCTCGCGTGTGATCGCCTTTTTGAGCAGACCAGGTCGAGAAGGAGAAGAATCAGTCCAAGCATATCTAGCCATAGGTCAGGCCAGAAAAATGGTGTGCACGGCGTCGTAAGTACGGCTGACAGACCTCCTTTCAACACGGCCCTACTGCGACGGATGCCGCATGAAAGTGGGTGTGGGCGTGGGCCGTGTTTGGTGTTTTTGTGCGTCCATGGGCGAGTTTCTTGTCCTCCATCTGCGGGGCTGCGAGCATGTGTGTGTGCATACGTATGCATGAGTCCTGCATACGTTCATATATAACCTTCTGTCTGTCTGTCTGTGTCGGTGTGTGTCTGAGTGTTCATAAGTTGGTACGTGGCTTGTCGCACGTCCATCCATCCGTCCGTGGCCGTGGACGGACGGAAGGGACAGGACAGCCAGGGAGGGGACGGACGGGGAATGCGGACTAAGCATGTTTGAACGAATATGACCACACGACATTTGTGCCTATCCTGGCCGTGAGTGGGTGGCCTCGGTGGGACCATGAACTTGCGTCATAGCATGCCCCCGACAAGAGAGCGGCTGGCATCTGATGTCTTGGCTCAAGGGATGCTTTCCAAACGAAAGAACGTCCCCCGTCGTTCCGATCCTCCCCTGGGGGCGTCTCCGCTGTCTCGTGCTTGAGCGTAGGACCGGTCAATCATGATGCTGGTTGCCGTCCTGATCATCACCGCTGTCCTTCCACATGGTACTGCTCGGGAGCGCTCTTCTCGGGTCGACTGCACTGTCTTAATTTCGTGGGTGGGTGTGCATGTGTCATGGATCTTTTCAGCTGCAGGCCATTCGCTGTCCACGACCGACGTTACCGAGGCGGGCACCCTCGATAGTAGCCTCGGCAACCAGACATGTAGGCGTGCAGCCCGAGACAGCCGCCAGAGAATGCCAAGAGAATGGCATCCGTATGGCATCGATTGCAGGTCCCCTCCAACCCACGTCAACTTCGCACACTGCCGAAAGATACGCCTGTCCTCCTAAGCCAAAAGGTAGGGAGACAGAGGCAAGAAGAGATGCCACGACATGACAATTGCGACATGATGCATTCATTGTTTGTCCGTCTGTGCGTCTACAGGCTGTGAGATGAACGCCGGACGGAACGGTTGTGCGCATTCCTCCCCCGCTTACCAAGATTGCATCACGTCCGTCACTCTGGCAGAGGCCGTCCGCGGTGCTGACGACAGCTTGCGCCTCCTCCGCGACGTCTGGGCAGCGAAAAAGGAACGGTTCCCGTGCAAGGACAGCAGCCTTAAGAAGCTCGCTTCCGAAGCGGCAGCACTGATGACGGGACAAGGATGCCCTACGATCCTCCATGGCTCTCCTCCTCCGAAGAAGTTTGCCATGGATGCCATCCGGGGCACTGGCCTTTTCGAGAGTACGCGTTGAATGCAGAGACATGCATTGATACACTGTGTCCCTTCGTCCCCCTCTTTCTCTCTCAGAGTGCCAGTGCTGCAACGATGCTCAGAAAGGCAAGGAGCTTTAGCTGACGAGACAGACCCTTGTTCAAAGGAAGCCACAATGCATGCCCAAGGAGAGAGAGGGAGAGGGGGAGAGAGAGAGAGAGAGAGAGGGAGATGGAGAGAGACATGAGACAAGCACCCGCCCACGACAGACGACTGACAGACGCTGAACGGACAGCTCCGCCGCCCGCCTATTTTGATTCCATCACTTCCATCCATTCACGCGACTTCCTCCCCCCCTGAGGAGTTTGGATGTCTGATCGAGCGGTTTTCTTTTGAGTGAACTGAGAGAGATCAGGGGCTTGTATCGGTCTGCAGTCTGACGGCTGCATCCCTCACTCCACCTCACAAGAGCGCCACTTGAGTGTCCCACCCTCGGTAGCCCACACTCCATCCCTACAACTTGCGTGTGGACCACACCTATTTTCTTTTGACCATGAACCGCAAAAGCTGCTACTCTTCTTGCTCCTCCTCCTCCTCTTGTTGGCCTCCATCGTCGTCGTCATCCTTCTCCGCACGCCGCTTGCGGCCACGGCCACGACCACGACCTGCACACACGACCACACCACCCAAGCATTCACTCACTGACTCACTTACTTACGAATCGACGGCTGCCTGCCTGGCTGCCTGCAGACACATGCATGCGCACCGCACCTGCCTGGTGTGGCGGGGCGGCACCCTCCTGCCTCTGCACGATACGCGTCACCTCAGACACACCGTGCACACTACGCACCCTGCACACACAGCACAAAGGTACACACGCCCGCATACATAAGTGTGCCGTGCCTGCCCACCGAGCTGCCTGCCGACCTGAAGAGTATGTTGGCGTGTCTGTGCATGCCCTCCTTGAGCGAGACCAGGATGAACTGGGAGTCGGGGAAGTGCTGCCGAATCATGGCGCCCATGTTGCTCGTGTGGTTGGGGTCAAGCGCCGCATCCACCTCGTCCAGCAGGAACAGCGGACCCGGCTGTCAGTCAAGGAGACAGACACGCAGGCAGCACACAAAGAAAGTATGTGTCTCGTCTCTTTCCCTTCCACGGCATCCACTGCAGGCAGGGCCCACCTTATTTACCTTGTATTTGTTGATGGCGAGGAGTAGGGCGAGTGCGACGAGCGACTTCTGGCCGCCCGAGAGTGAGCTGAGGCTGTCCTTCCACACACGGTCGACGCACACCTTCATCTCCAGGCCCGTCTTGAGGAAATCCTTCGCACGATGGCCTTCGGGCACTGCCAGACGCGCACTCGCACCCGGCAGCATCGTGCCGAAGATCTTGCCGAAGTTGTCGTTCACCTGAATGCATCAATGAATGAATGAAGGCACCACACACACACACACATACACACACAGGCAAGCGCACAGCAGGCAGGCAGGCAGGCAGGAAGGCATGGATGTTTGTTTGCCCAAGAGGTGTGTGTGGTACATACTATTTTCCAGCATGAGTTGAGTTCGTCGATTCGTTTCTGGTCGTATTTCTTGATGTCCTTCTCGAGGTCCTCCTTCTCGCGCTCCACGATGCCGCGCTTCGTCTTCCACTCCTGCCAGCCCGGACGCACACACACACACATACACACACACACACACAGAGAGAGAGAGAGGGAGAGAGAGAGGGGGGGACGAGGAGAGGAGGGTTTGTCGTTGGGCTGGTCTGTGCGTGTGTGGCCTGCACTGCACTGCATGCCTCTATCTTCGCGTTGAGTGCCTCCCATTTGGTGTATGCCTCCTTGTTGACGCGTGGCTCCAGCCGCTCGTAGTCCTGCCGCATCTTCTCGTACCGACCTCGCTCGACTGAGTTGACGAGTCACGTCATACACATACAGACCGTTTGGCTGGTGCTCACGCCATTGTTCGTTCACGCGTACCGTTGGCAGTGGTTCCTCTGAAGTCGTAGTCGCCGCCCTCCTTGTTGAGCTCGGGCTCCAGCGCCACTGTGTCAGGCATCCTGGCACGGTACTTGCGCACCTCCTACACACATACAGGCGCCCACACGTGTGTGTCTGTGCGTGGCGTATAAAAGGCCCACCGCGTCCGCGTGTGCGACCTCCTTCTTCTTGGTCTCGTATTGGTTGTTCTTCTGGACACATACACACACACACACACACACACCCCGACGAGACACCCACCACAATGGCGAGTTGGGGGCGGGGTGATGTGGGTGCATACCCTAGCTTTGGCTAATTCAGTGTTGTGCTTTTGCTTCTCGAGCTCCCTCTCGTCCTGCTGCAGCTGATTCAACGCCTCGTCCAGTTGCTGAAGGGGGCATCGACCACACACGTTCAGCAAGTTGCCTGATGTGTGTTGTGTGCCGTCTGCTGACCGACCGATAGGTTCTTCTTGCTTTCCTCCACTTTCTTGAGCACCTCGTCCTTCCACCGGACCTATCACACACACAGACAGGTGTGTATGGGTGTCTGTGTGTGGTGGTGGTGGTGGTGGTGGCTGATGGGTGTGTGTCTTCTCACGGCGTCTTGGTACTGCTGTTCCTTCTCGGCGAAGTGCTCCTGACACTTGGCTAGCTGAGCCTCGGCCGCCTGCACGTCAGACACAATAAATACACCACAGACAATGCAGACAGGTGTGCCGGTCGCATCGCATATATGTGTGTAGGTATATGTGGACGTGTAGAGTGGGTGACCTCACTTACCTTAAGGTCTTCCTCCTTCTCTGTAATGTTCTGCCGCATCGCCTGCAGCTCTACGCCAACCCTATTGTGACGCTGAACACACGCACCGCACAAGACAGACACACAGATGCCTCTCTGCGTCACTCCCCTTCCCTGTAGGCATACACACACCTCTTGGAGTTCATTGTGTTCGTTGTCGGCCTTTTCAGCGTCTTCTTTGGCCTGACGGCACATCTGCTCGACCTCCTGCTCCATCTGCCCCTTGTTGTTCTGGAAGTTGGCCAGCGACGCCTCAAGCTCCTGTATGGCCTCGTCGGTCTTGCCGGCCTCTGACGTCAACTCGACCGACGACGCCTTCAGCTCATCCAACTGAGACAACGAGACGGCATGAGAATACAGAAAGAGAGAGCGGGGGAGAAGAGTGTTGGGGTTGCTGGCTGACTTTGGTTTTGGCTTGTTCTATTTCGTCCTTCTTGGCGCCGATCTCGTCCTGGTTGATGCGCTCCTGACTCGCAGACACACAGAGACACAAGGAACGCAGAGATGAAGCGGTCTCATTACTGTCTCCCAGTGTTGTGTGTTGTGTGTTCTGTGTGGGGTCTGTGTGTGTGCCTGGATGCGGTTAAGCCTCCGCTGCTCGTAGTCGAGTTTCTTCGAGTACTCCTGCCACACACATGCAAGCCGATGGTGAGCTGTGCGTGTCTCATGCCGTCTCGAGTACATACGTCGTGGTCCTTCTTGGTCTGGGCTTGGGCGTCGAACCAATCCTTGAGCTCCCTTAATCCATACACACACACACACACACACACGATAGCCGGTGTGCGTGTAAGTTCCGATTGAGTACTTGGCGCGCTCCTCCAGCTTGGTCAACCTCTCGCGGAGGGACGCCAGGGCCTGAACCATAACATATACGCGCACACCTTTGCAGATCGCCCCCCTTTTTTCTTTCGTACCTTGAATTTCTCGAGTAGCTGCAGATTCTTGCTGGAGCCGCCACCAATCGCACCTGACACCCCACACAGGGCCCACACAGAGAGAGAGAGAGGCAGCTGGTGGATGCTGCAGGTCACCGTGGATGCCACGCGTGGTTCCCTCCGCCCCCGCCTGACCTGATGGGTCGTACACGTCTCCGTTTTGTGTGATGATGCGTGTGCGCGCGGACGGGTGTGCGTAGACCTTGCCGGCGGTGACTTTGGACTCACACAGCAGCAGCCGACCGAACACGAAACGCATCGCCTTGGCCACCTCAGGCGGATACCTACACAACACGCCCATGTGTCATATTGTGTAATATTGTGTATGTTGTATGTGGATATAATACTCACTCTACGACGTCAATGCCCTTGAGTATGGTGTCGCCCTCTCCCTCTGCGTCGCTAACGCGCTGGGCCGCCTCGACGGTCTAAACACAACCGACCACCACGTGTGTTTGCTGGTCGATGTTATTCATTGTGAGGTCCTGGTCCTCACACACAAGAAACTGACGTACCTCGTTGGCCACCACTTTGTCTTGCAGTCTGTTGAGGGGCAGACACGTCACGCGGTCCTGCTCAAACGCCTTCTTGTCCAGCAGCTCAGTGGCTGCCGCACACCAACACGGACCGACACACATGTGACACCACGCACCCACCGTACACACACCGTGGTGCGTCGGTCTGCCCACCGTCTTTCTCCGTCTCGACAATGACGTTGAACAGCTTGGCCAAAGACGCCACCTGCACACACACGGGCACAGCACACTTGTGGCTTTCACCAGTGTCATGACCCCGTGTCATGAGTCTTTGTGACCTCGATGGCTTTGGAGTAGTTGTCCATGTCAGGCTTGAGGTGCACGAGCTCACCCACCGCACCCTTGACGTGCTGGGGGTCCAGGTCGGGCACCTTCTCGCGGTTGTACGTGCAGCGACCCAACAAACGAGACTGACCAAGGAAGGGGACGGGAGGGGAGGGAAGGGAACAGCACGTCATGTTGTCTCATCCGCTTCGTTGTGAGTGTGCTGTTGTTACGCGAAGTGTGTCCTCGTCATGACGCAGGGGGGGCAGCTCCTGCGGACAGACACATGCAAACGGTGCTCTTCTGCCTCCCTCTCTGTCTGTCTGTCTGTCTGTCTGTGTGTGTGTATGTGGTGGCGCCACCTCTTTGTGTATTCGGTCGTATTCGTCTTGTCTGGCCTTCCATGCGTATGCGTCGAAGTCGAGTGCGTTGAGTTTGTCCTGCCACTTGCGGATGTTGACCTCACACTCGGACTTCTCCCGACACAACGCATTGTACGCCTGACAAACAAAGACACACCCACACCGACACACGAATGTTCAAATGGATCTGGGAGGTGCGTTGGCTGGCCATGTGCTCACTTTGAGTTTTGGGTCGTTTGCGTCGATGTCGTCAGCCTTCTCGAGCTTCTCCTCCAAATGCCTGATGGACGGGCGACAAGCAGATGAGTTCGTCTGCATGGGTGCTTGCCTGCTGGGTGTCGCTCGCGCCCTCCCTCACTTTGTTTCCCTGGCGCATTGTTTGAGTTTTGTGTCTATTTCGGCTCTCTTCTGCTTGGCGGCGGCGAGTCGCTCGCGCACCGACTGGCCCTCCTGCTCGTCGCCCTCGTCAGCCACAAACACCTCACGCCCTGCACACACACACACACACACACACAGAGAGAGAGAGAGAGAGACACATGAAGGTGGATGGATGCCACGCGTGCGTGAGAGGGTAGGTGGATGTGTGGTTGTTTGCCTGCTCGTATGTCGTGCAGTTTGCGATTGAGTTTGTCCTGCTTCTTCTCGAGCTGATCCTTGGCCTCCAACAACGACTGACGAGAGTTGAATAAATAGATGGATGGATGGATGGATGAGTGAATGGATGGGTAATTGAGTGGCAGGCTGACCTGGAGCTGTGTCTGTAGTTGTTTGTGTTCGTTGTCCTTTTTGTTGACGTCCTTCTCATGGCCCTTGAGCTTCTTCTGCTGACTTGACACCTCCTTCTCAGCCTCTACCTACTCACATACACACACACACACATCCACATGCACACACACAATGCACCATTACATCCTCCCGTGTTTTCCACTGACTGACCACGTCCTTCTTGGCGTTGTCGAGTTTGGTCTGCGCCCCCTCCATCTCCTGCACACACACACACACACACGAAGGCACGCACACAGACACATGAGGGCAGTGAATCGGCGGTCGGCATGTATAGATTCTTGCGTCGTACGGTGGTTCTCTTGGAGAGCAGCTCCTGCAGCCGCGTGAACTCGGCGTCCTCATTACGCTGCACGATCCCATAGAGGTACACAGGCACGCGTGCGTGAATGGCCTTTGTGCTTGCCGCCGTTTGTGTCGGTAACATACGGCCTTCATGCGTTTGTCGAACTCCTTCTTCTTGTCGGCCAACTCCTTCTGAAGCGACTCCATCTGAGCAGCGGAGAGATGAATGGATGGATGGATGGATATACACCACCCAACACATACATGGCCTCCACCGACCCACACACCCATTTACCTGTGCGTCGAGCTCCTCCCTCTCCTTCACCAATTGGGCTGCACGCACACACATATGTGGAGATGCCGTGAAGAGAAAGTGTGTGTGTGTGTGTGTGGATTGCGTGGCTGACCGAGTTGCTGCTGTCCGCTCTTCTGCACGGTGAGGTGTTCGTAGTAGGTGATGGCGTTGACGAACCGCTGCTGCTGGTGGATGGTGCTGCGGATCTTCTCAAACTGCAAGTACTCCACCCTGATTGACCCATCCACACACACACACACACACACACAGACAGTGCGCACGTACTTGAATGTGTGTGTGCTCTCTGCGTACCTCTCCTTGTTGAGGCGGTCTCGCTCTGGTATGAACTCCTGCTCCAGCTTGTCGTCCACACGCGCCAGCTGCACTCACACACACACACAGAAGCAGACGATGCTCACACAAACAGACACCCTTCACTTGTTGAGGCGTGTGTAGCGGCTGGGGGACCGGCGGCAGGTCGCTGACCTCTTTTTCCTTGGCTTCGATTTTCTTTTTGGTGGTGTCCCTCTTGTTCTGGTACGTCTTGGTGCCCGCCGCCTCCTCGAGCATCTCCAGGAAGCGGTGCGGCCGGAACCCGATCGTCTGGGTGATCTTGCCCTGAATCATGCATGGTGCATGACGGACGAAGGACACACACACACACACAGAGAGAACGCGTCGGTCGGTACGTGTGTGTTGGGTGTGGATCTGTTGTGTTGTGTTGGTTGGTTGAAGGTATCGTGCCTGTTGAATGAGGAAATACGGGTATTGTATGCTGAGCCCGGCGGCGGCGAAGAAGTCGTGGTAGGCCTTCTCCTTGACCACAGACCCGTTGATGAACCACTTGCGCTGACTCCCTTGCAGCTGATAAGACGGATGGACGGACGGACGGATGGATGGATGGATAGCAACACACACGGTCAGTGAGGCTGCTGTCCATACGAGCCTGTGTGTGTGTATGTGTGTTGCTCACGAGTCGCGTGCAGGTGATTTTGGGTTGCTGTCTGTATGGGTTTGTGACGGGCAGCGGACACCTTTCCTCGTCCTCATTGTTGAACACCAACGTCACCTGCATACAGACAGACACACAGACGGATGCGTTGATGACCATCCATCCACCCGTGCCCCTCGCTCGGCTCTGGTCAGCCACCTCGGCTTTGGTGATGCCCTGCTGGCCCTTGAGGTATATCAGCTCAGCCATGTCCTTGGCACGCATCTACAGCCAGCCAGCCACACAACACACAGCACAGTTTCGTTCGGCACCAATCGCTGTCCTCCTTCCTCTCCTTGGATGTCTGACGAGTTCGGGTTTATTGAGTCCGAGTGCGAATGAGGTGGCGTCGAGTATGTTGGACTTGCCGCTGCCGTTCTGGCCCGTGATGGCGTTGAACTGCGGATGCAGCCCGCAGATCTCAGTGCGGCCGCCATAAGACTTGAAGCCCTCCAAGATGATCCGCTCGATGTGCATCGTCTGGGATGAATGCGATCACGCAACAAGAGCGCCGGACGCTCAAAGGGGGAGCGAAGGGAATGTAAACGGCGTGGCGATTCTGCGAGCTTGGTGGATGGGAGGCAGAGCAAGAGACGGCTGCAACGAGCAAGATGCCCGTCGCGCGAGCGCTGCAGATCAGGAAGACGTAGGATAGCACAGAAGTGGCCCATGCGGAGCACAAGGATGAATGAGTCTGCTCACACGTTTGTTTGTTTCATTGATTGCTTACATTGCTGGCAGGAGCTTTGAGTGGCTCACTCGTCGGATCTCCCTCGCCGGATATCTCTCACGCCGCGATGCAGAAGAGGCCGTCAAGAGCGGACAAGTCACGGTGAGCAGAAGAGATGCCCTGCAATACTATCGCCGGCACTGGTTTTGAGCTGGTTGTGTGTGCAGGTGGACGGTCAGGTGGTTCGTCAGAATGTGGAGGTGTGCGATGAGCATGAAGTCTTCTACAACGACCTCTATGTGCCGCCGCCCGGCGTGCCCAGGCTGTGGGGCATCAACAAACCAAAGAACGTCATCTGCACTTACGAGCACAAGAAGGTACGGTACATCCCCTCAACCAGGCGGCTCAGCTGACGTGTATTGTATGTATCATCACTGGCTGCATTAATGCGCCTCTCAGGACATCATGACGATATTTCAGCTCCTGCGAGAGATGGAGGAGCACTCCAAAACTGACACGTGGGCGTGCAGACAATGGAATCACACACAAGGGAAGGGCTTGCTGACGGTATGTGTGTACGTGTGTGTGGCTGTGTGCGTCAGTGGGTCAGGCTTCGATCTGCCGCCCCATCTCGTGCTCGTGGTACGTGCACATAACCAACCAAGCCAAGCATGCTGCTGTGGCCTGAGCACAGACATGGGATGTTGTTGTTGCTGTGTTTTTTTGTGCGTGTCAACCAACCGTGTATGTGTGCAGGGTCGTTTGCCGGTGAATGCGGAGGGTCTGATGCTCTTCACCAACGATGGCGACTTGGCCAAGAGGCTGCTCGACCCAAACAACAGAATACAGTCGGTACGCTTGTGTGCACCTACTTACTCACCGCCGTGTCTGGGATGGATGGATCTATGTGATGCCTGCCCTGCCCTGCCTGCGTGGGTGCCTGCGTCCGTCAGACATACATGGTGCGTGTCCACGGGCGGCTGCCCCCCGACAACCTCAGGAGCATATGGTAGGCTCAGCCGTCTCGGACGGAAACACTTGCCAAGTGTGTGTAACGGACGGGTGTGTGCGCGTAGGTCTGGTGTGACGGTCAACGGTGTGGACTACGGCCCTGTGTGGGTGGAGATCCTACGCAGATGTTGGGCCAGCAGCTGGCTACGGGTGGGTAGGGCGGCTGGTACATGCCTGCCTGGGTGGATCGGGAGGGAGGGCACCATGGCACCACACACACATACTCGCCGCTCGTCTCGTCTCCCTCACTCAGGTGCGGTTTGTCGAGACCCGCGACAGGTGCCTTCTCACACTGTTCCGCAAATTCGGCCTCGAGGTGGGAACGGATGGATGTATGGGCACGGAGTGGTCTCTGACTTGTGTGTGCAGGTGAAGCGTTATCGGCGTCACGCCTTTGGCCCCTACTTGGGCTCTGAGATCGAGGACGGCACTGTGCTGCAGTTCCCCATCCACAGAGCCATTCGGCATTTGGTTCCCCAGAGAGAGCGGCGGATGAGCATCGTCCCTGCTGCAGGCAGCCTGGTGGACACTCAGGGCGACGTCAGCTCTATCTTCGACGCTCCCCGCCTGTCGGCAGCACACCACCTTTATCTGTCCGACGACAATGACGAACCCCACCACCAACACCAACAACACCAGGGAGCCGACCGGGCCGCTGCTGGCGGCTGGACGTATGAGATTGTCGATGGGGAGGGCGGCCCGGCCGTGCCGACAGATGAGATGGGAGGGGAGGTCATCGACGAAGGTGAAAACGATGTTATGAGTGCTGGAGATGGCGACTATGGCGAGAGGGAGTCGAGGGCCGCAAGTGTCATGGGAAGCGATGAGCCGTCGGCCGCCGAGGTGTTCCACGTCTCTGCAGCTGGTGACAGTGAAGGCGATCCCTCAGTCTCAGCTGAGGATAACAGAGGTCTGCCGGGCAGCAGGCGAAATGCAGATGCAGCAGACACGATGAGAAAGCGGGAAAGCGATGTGACCACCAGGGGTCGCAAGAAGAAGCCGCCTGGTGGTAATGGTGTAGCTGTGGAGGTGCGTGAGAGTGTGGGTGTGGGGCTGCCACTGTACGTGCCGCCTGAGAGAAGGTCGGTGGCTCAGGCACTTGACGTGCTGACAAGACAGGCAGGCAGGCCATGACTGACGGGCGCTTCTGTGGAGAGTGGGTCACATGAAATGAAGGGCTCAACGGGTGACCTTTGCAATGGTTGGTTGGTTGGTTGCAGTGCACGTATTCACACGAGACTTGTTTCGGCGCAGACAGACAGAGAATCGGTGTAGTGTATGTTGCAAGCAACGGGGCCAAATGACACACACTGTCCAATCCAATCCAGACAAGACAGACAGGTCATGACTTATGTCGGCATGGCATGAACAATGCCGCTCGTCCATCCATCCATTCATCCATTGTACACACGGCTCACGTCCATGCCATCCAATAAAACACGTCACCCAGCAAGCGGCACGATGTCGTCACTTGATGTCGTTGGCAAGCCTCACTGCCCGACGGATTGCACCGCACTGACATACAGACAGACAGACAGACAGACAGACAACACACCGACACAGCACAACACCAAACCTCACCTTACAGGTACACCGACCGCACACGCGCAAACTCCATCCATCCATCCATCGGGCTTACCATGCACGCGGCGGCCAGCTGGCCGACAATGGTCTCGGTGTCGGGGGCACTCAACCTGCTCTGCACACACAGCACAGGCAGACACACATCGTGAATGCGCAATCGGTCACCTGCGGCGCTCACCGCTTTGCATGTGGCCGTCGAGAACGTATAAATGATGTCGCCATCAAACGGCGTGAAGGCTGGACAGATCGAACGCGCAAACCCTACACAACACACACACACATACAAAGAAAAAGAGAAGCCGGGTCACGCACACGTGGATTGGATAATTGGATGGGCATTAATATACATACGGCAATGGGGGAGTGGGGTGGGTGTTGTTGTGGGGTGCTCTGAGGTGAGTGAGTGGTGTGCGTGCATCGCGTCAGTCAGTGAGTCAGAGTATGCGATCGACCGCTCTCTTCAACCGCTTGCCACGTCAGAAGCAGAACTGGCATGTTGGTCGGCATATCATCACACTCAGCACGCGTGCCTCGCTCCCTCCCCACCTAGCTGCTGCCTCTCTGTCTGCCCATGCACAGACAGACACACGTACTCACGTACCTGCCGTGGCCATTTTGCCGATCCGCAGGAGTGCGTTTCGGTCCAAGTCGACATTGGTGAAGACCACACCCAGGGTGGTGCACGTGTGCAGCGTTTCATCACCGGCGCCACTCGGGTTGGCTGCCGGCTGGTCAAGGGCAAAGTCGAACGACGCAGCGGAGGAATCCTCTGGTGGCATTTCTGAAGACACACAAGAGGGCACGAAGTCACGGCATGTTACCGTAATACCGACCGTCGCTGTGCTGACCTTGCAGAATGAAGCTAGCTACATTGACGGGCTGGGAGCTGACTCTGCCACCTGACATAGCATAAGCATGACAGTCATGCAGCGCACCGCACCTCACCGCACCCACCATGATTTGGCAGCGGTTTTCTCCCCCGTTCCATCCCCCTCCTGCCCTCCCTCACCCACCCGCGAGCACGTCTCCCTTCTCATCGAGTATGTCCCCAAAGGCGTTGACCACCACACACGCACTGCACCCACACACAATATACACCCATCCCACTTGTTGGCCCTTGACTCAAGGCAAGTGTGTGTGTATCGGTCTGTCTGTCTGTCTGTCTGTCTGTCTGCCTGCGTGCTGCCTGTTTGTGTCTGATCACCTCACTTGGATGTCGCCCGGCCCGCTCATGGACATGACCCCCAAACCGCCACGATCCGCCACAAACCCTGCACCGCATCAGCCGACACAGCAGAGGGAATGACATGACACTCTGGCGTCTTTCTGCCCAGTCAGCTGCTCACCCTTTGGGCCTTTCTTGCCCACTCGGGCGCCCGTCCCCGCCCCCACAGCTCCCTCACACATGCTGCTGTACGGCGACGAAGCCCCACACTGAACCAACACACAGAAGAGTTGAAGGTGCCCGCCCTCCC